CTCATGCCATTCCGTCCACCTTCTATTCGGTTTGTAACGTCTGACAGGTCTAACATGTGGGACCGAGCAGGAGAATTGACCATCTTACCCCTTGAGACTGGAGTGCATATGCGGTGGGCAAATTGACTGGCATTCACCGCCATCTCACTTCTCTCTCTCTCTCTCCCGATTCCTCTCTCTCGTCTCTTCCCCAAACCCTAGCGGCGGAGTCCGGATCGGCGGCGGCGGCGGTACCCTAGAGGCGTCGCGGCTGGGAGGCAAGAATACCCATCCCAGGTGCTTGTGGCGTCGATTTTTGGAGCTCGTGTTTACTCTGTTCGTCTGCTCGAGTTTGTCGGTTCTTGTCTGTGCGCACGGGTGCTCGGCACCTGGTGCTACTGGTGCAGGCTGGAGCAGAGCCGAGCGCTCCTAGTCGTGCAGCCGAGTCTAGCACAGCCTCAGGCCAAATTGCATGCTTCTCTCGTGAACGGCGAGCAGTTCCTCCGCCCCCTTTTATTTTCGTCTGTTCTTGCAGCCGATTTCTAAATCCACAGCATAGGTGTTGAAATTGGTGGCCTTCGGTTCAATCAGGTTCAGCAGTGAGTAGTACCATGCCGACCAATTGTTGCCGCCGGTGGCTCTGTGCAGCCCCGTCGGCCAGGCTTTGAGTTTGCTTGCTCGTTCTTCGTTCTTGTCCAGATATCCGTTCAGCTGCAGCAGTGTGTGCAGTTCTCTGATTTTAGTAGCTTGCAGTTAGCTTTTGAGCGGCAAGTCAGTAGTCCGCGCTGCTCCTGGTGATCAGCGGCAACAACATCAACTGGCGGCGGCTGTTGTGTTCCTCATGCAGGTAAGCAGCAGGGCAACAAGTTTTTGGTCATGATAAATATGCATGTCATTGTCAAGCTATAGTGATGCAATAATGAATATCCTTTCTTACAATCTTTATCTAATGATTTAAGCTTCAACATATTTCCTCTAGCTTGAGCTAATTTATTTACATGAGAAAATTTACACGGCTTCTACTCTGAATGTTTAGTGTGTCCAAAAATTGTGTGCTCCTATGTAAGATGGACGCAGACAGTAGCTTCAACCTAGAAATCCGGATTGTTGCTCCCAATGCGCGTGGTCGGTGGTACTCATTGGACATGGTTGTGGATGCTGACCGGACTAACTTCAGAGATTTGTTTGGGTCCGTTGTTGACAAGTGTCCTCCCACGCACGGTGATGTAGCTCGAATGTTTTATTTGTGTCTGGACAGTAAGCTCCATATTGAAGTCTGCAAAGACCAAGACTTGGTTGAAAATGTTTGCCAAAAACAAGGCTTCGAAGTGCTGCTACTTGACATTTGTATATACTAGCCCAACTAGTGAGCCTCAGCTTCCTGATTGGGAGTTTGGTGACAATGCCCACTCTGTTCAAGCCCCAGTCACCCCTTCAGTCCACTATCCTAGCATAGCTGAACCAAGCAAAAACACCCAGAGCGTGTCTGTAGTGCCTAAACATGAATCACTTGAAAACCCAAATCCATCCTATGAGCATGTGGGTGTTGATGATGAAGGATTGTATCTCGACCTTGGTCCTGATTATCCCAAACCTTCCAATCCTCATAAGCCAAGACAGCCTGCTACCCCTGAGGCCTCTGAATCAGACACTGATGAAGAGTCTGATGTTGATGATCGTGATGATGAGAAAGATTATGAAATAGAGGATGTAGATGATATTGTTAAAGATAAACAGCCTGAACAAATGCCTGATGCTGACTATGATAAGAAGGACCCTCCTATGGCAGTAGGCACTGTGTATTCAGACATTAATGCTTTTAGATTGGCTGTAGCTACTCATGCTGTGAGACGTGAGATCCATTATGACATTGAGGCTAGTGACACAGGGAGGTTTAGGGCAAGCTGTAGTTTCAAGGAAGAATTGGGCTGTCGGTGGAGAATTCATGCATCAACTACCAAGGATGGGCGTACTGTAAAGGTATTATGTTTTACCAATTGTACATTCATTTATTTTTTTGGCCTAATAATTGTAAGGACTGTTTCTTTTTTTAGGTGAAGAAGAATCCATTTGGCCATGACTGTCAGAGTGCCAGGAGGACTGGAGTCTGTGTAGGAGTCACACAGTTTTGGGTGTGTCATCAAGTGATTGATTGGTTGAAGGAAGATGGGACTCTGGGTGCCAAAGAACTGCAGAAGAAGTTGAATGTTGAATTTGGGATCTGGGTACCCTACAGGAGAGTGTACAAAGGTAAAAACCTTGCCATGGATAAGCTGTATGGGCCTTGGGACAAAAGCTTTGATAACCTATTTAGACTTAAGGCTCAGTTAGAGGAAAGCAGTCCTGGTACTTTTTTTTGTCATTGATCACCACACCATCAACAACAAGATAAGGTTTAATAGGCTGCTTTTTGCATTGAAGGCTTGTGTTGATGGCTTTTTTAGAGGTTGCAGACCATATCTTGCAGTAGATAGTACATTTTTAACTGGAAGGTTTAGGGGCCAGTTGTGCATTGCTTGTGTAGTAGATTGGCATAACTGGATGTTCCTAGTAGCAGTTGGTGTCATTGATTCAGAGACTAATGAGAATTGGGTGTGGTTCATGAAGAGGCTAAAGGAAGCAATAGGCAGCCCAGATGGACTTACTTTCAGTACAGATTGTGGACAGGCAGTGATGCATGGAGTTAGTGAGGTTTTTCCAGGATGTGAACATAGAGAGTGTATGTATCATCTAGTACAAAATTTCAAGAAGAGGTACAGTGGAAAGATTTTTGATGATCATTTATGGGCAGCTGCATATTCATGGAGCCCATACATATTTAATAAACACTATCAGGCAATGGCTCAAGCCAAACCAGAGGCTATGGTATATCTCCAAGAGATTCACAAGAAAAAGTGGACTAGGAGCCAAGTCTTCACTAGTTCAAAGGTGGACTATGTCACTAATAACTTGGCTGAGTCCTTCAATAATTGGATAAAGCCTGAGAAAGGGAAGCACCTAGATGACTTGATGGACACCATTAGACAGAAGATATTGATCAAGTGGAATCATAGAAAGAGGGCGACAAGGACATTTGAAGGCAAGATTTTACCTCATATTGTGAAGAAGCTGAGAGAAGACAGTTTCAACCTTGACATAGAAGTGATCACAAGCTCACTTGAAGGTGTTGCAGAAGTTTGTGCTAAGGGGTGCAGTTCATTTAGGTTTGTGGTTGACTTAGGTAATAGAACATGTTCATGTAATGCTTGGCAAGGGTCAGGAATACCCTGCAAACATGCTATTGCGTACATCACTTCAATTCCTGGAGCAAAATTAGAAGACCATGTAGATGAGTACTTTTCTATCTAGAAATTCAAAGAAGCTTATGCAGGCTCTGTCCCATGTATTCCTGACAAGTCCATGTGGCCCAAAGCCACACATGGGTTCTTCATGCACCCTCCATTGCTTAAGTCAACAGCAGGAAGAAGAAAAAATAGGATGAAAGGGGCTCTGGAGGGAGGAAGTGGGAAGAAGAAGAAGAAACATGAGTGTCCCATATGCCATGAATTGGGGCATCACTGGTACACTTGCAAGAATGGGGATCCAGCAGACATAACTGCAATGGAGGCAGAAAGGTAATCAAATACATCTACATAAATGAAACTATCATTTAACTGAACTACATTTTCTATTAACAATTGTCTTTTGCAGAGGTCTCCCAAAGAAAAGGCAGAAGAAAGCAGCTAGTACCAATACAGAGACTAGCCTTGTGGTGGCCACTCCATCAACAGGGATGGTATTCCCACACAATGAGGCAGTGGCCAATGCTGCAGAAAAGAAGAGGAAGAGCAAATCATCTTCTTCAACAACTTTCAAGAAAAAGAAGGCATCAGCTAGCACTGCACCATCAACAACTCCAAACACCCTATCTGGCAGGTATGTTTTTTCTATAGTTCTGTAATTTCCCATTGTAATGAAGCTTGTTCCAATAACTGGTATTTGATAGTAACAGGTCTGGAACTGGTTCCAATGAACTAGTCTCCCTCCAGGCATCAACTGCAACAGTGCAGACACCACCAGTGGAGGTTGTTCTGCCCCAGAGTTCACCAAGGATGAAGATAGGAGTGAAGAAGAAGCTGACACCTAAGAAGCCACCACCAGTGGAGGTTGTTCTGTCCCAGAGTTCACCAAGGATGAAGATAGGAGTGAAGAAGAAGCTAACACCTAAAAAGCCTCCCCTTGTACTAGCAAGCACAGCCAGCCCAGCTTCAAATACCAGGAGCAAGAAGAAGGTAATGCTGGAATGAAAGGTGTCTGCCTGATTGTTGTGTGGGGATGTCTTTTGGCCTCATTTGCTTTTGTGGCTCTTTTGCTAAAGCTGTACCTGGTGCCTGCTTTTGGATGAGTAGTACATGAGCTACTGCTGTTTGCTGTGCCTGCTGGCATCATTTCATTTTGGCTTGACTAGAACTTAATGTCTGGATGAAACACTTATGTGCCTGCTGTAATGTAATGTTGGTGACATGTTGAAAACTTTAGCTAATGTGTTGAAAACCAGTGACCAAATGTTGGTCTATGAACCATATTATTATTATTATATATTGTGTTAAATATTATTATTATATATTGTGTTCATTTCTTGTGTTGGCATCACGTACATACTCTAGTTTTTTTGCATTAAAAAAAGGTGCACATTAATTCATATGTTCATGCATCACATACATACTTCAGTTTTTTTTGCGCCAACACAACTATCCAACTCGGCCAGGGAGTGGCACAGAAGGACAATGGTGATTTTGATTAGCCTCTATGGTCTCAGGGCAAGCGGGTCTTTTCTCCATGCCGTTTCCCTCCGTTAGAGTGCAAAGTGGATGGAATGACCTGAGAGAAAAAAAAAAAAAAGTTTAGATGGATAGCGCATAGATGCAGCTCATCTTTTATAACGGTACATAGTTAAAAATCTCATCCGCAATCCCGTTACTTTCTTTCCCCGGCTCCTCGTCCTCCGCCCAAAAATCCCAAACCTTAACCCTAATACCGTCATGGCGCTCACTACACGGGGCGGCGCCGGCGCCGGCGGCGGGGATCCCGCGAAGGCGCCGTCCGCCTCCGACCCCAGCCTCGGCTTCCTCACCAAGCGCGACACCGAAGTCAAGCTGCCACGCGCCACGCGGGTCAAGAACAAGACCCCCGCGCCCATCCAGATTACGGCCGAGCAGATCCTCCGGGAGGCCAGGGAGCGGCAGGAGCCTGAGATCCGCCCGCCCAAGCAGAAGATCACAGACCCGCACGAGCTCTCCGACTACCGCCTCCGCAAGCGCAAGGAGTTCGAGGACGTCATCCGCCGCGTGCGGTGGAGCGTCTCGGCCTGGGTCAAGTACGCGCGGTGGGAGGAGCAGCAGCGGGACTTCGCGCGCGCGCGCTCCGTCTACGAGCGCGCGCTCGACGTCGCCCACCGCGACCACACGCTCTGGCTCAAGTATGCCGAGTTCGAGATGCGGAACCGGTTTGTCAACCACGCCCGGAATATCTGGGATCGCGCGGTGTCGCTCCTCCCCCGGGTGGATCAGCTCTGGTACAAGTACATCCACATGGAGGAGCTGCTTGGTGCGGTTGCCAATGCACGCCAGGTGTTCGAGCGCTGGATGTCTTGGCGACCCGACACGGCCGGCTGGAATTCTTACATCAAGTTTGAGCTGCGGTACGGGGAGGTCGAGCGTGCCAGGGCTATATATGAGCGGTTTGTGGCTGAGCATCCACGGCCAGATACCTTCATCCGCTATGCTAAGTTTGAGATGAAGCGCGGCGAGGTTGAGCGGGCACGGCGGGTGTATGAGCGTGCAGCAGACCTGCTTGCGGATGATGAAGACGCAGAAGTGTTGTTTGTGGCGTTTGCAGAGTTTGAGGAGAGGTGCCGTGAGGTCGAGCGTGCACGTGCAATATACAAGTATGCTCTGGACAGGGTGCCCAAGGGTCGTGCTGAGGAACTGTATAGGAAGTTTCTGGCATTTGAGAAGCAATTTGGTGACCGCGAGGGAATTGAGGATGCCATTGTGGGCAAGAGGAGATTTCAGTACGAGGATGAGGTTAGGAAGAACCCACTAAACTACGACTCATGGTTTGATTATATCAGGCTGGAGGAGAGTGTTGGGAATAAGGACAGGATCAGGGAGGTTTACGAGAGGGCCATCGCCAATGTGCCCCCTGCTGAGGAGAAGCGATATTGGCAGAGGTACATATATCTCTGGATTAATTATGCACTTTATGAGGAGCTAGACGCACAAGACATAGAACAGACCAGGGAGGTTTACAAGGAATGCCTGAGGTTGATTCCTCACAAGAAGTTCACGTTTGCAAAGATGTGGCTCATGGCGGCCCAGTTTGAGATAAGGCAGAGAAATCTAAAGGCTGCAAGACAAATTCTTGGAAATGCAATTGGAATGGCCCCAAAAGGCAAGATATTCAAGAAATATATTGAAATCGAGCTTTATCTGGGCAACTTTGACCGTTGTAGGACTCTTTATGAGAAATATATTGAATGGTCCCCAGCAAACTGTTATGCCTGGAGGAAGTATGCTGAATTGGAGAAGAACCTTAGTGAGACTGATCGTGCTCGATCAATATATGAACTTGCTATTGCACAGCCAGCTCTTGATACACCAGAGGTTCTGTGGAAGGTATGCTCTCTTGCAGAGTTGCGGTTGTATTCTTAGCTTATGCATATTAATACATTATATGGTTTTTTAGCGATGTATAGTAGATGCATTTTTTTATTCCTAAACCAACTGATCTAGTATATTATAAATGATGTTGTAAATAGTTATTTTGTTGCCCTAGTTACTAAAATCACCAGAGCTCATTCCTAGTTAACAATTCATTGCTCGTTAGATGCCTTTAAGAGGCACCATCCTTCGGATAAGAATAAGTTGCTGTACAGATCTCTGATTTGCATTGTTACCTATTCTATCTCTGCTGAAAGTTTGTGGAACCATTTAGGCCCGTGGAAACATTTCTTTGTTGTGCGCTTGTGTTTTTAGTGTCCACTTTAGCCCCTGTTCTCTGTATGCCTTACCCATGGAGGTGAATTTTCGCAAATTTCATTGGGCTGTTTGATCGTTGCCCAATATTGTTTCGGACTTGTAGCCTAAACTCAACACGTCTCTTGGCAGTATTCTAATTGAACAGGAAAGCATTGAATCTGACTATGATTTGTTCAAACATGAAAAACTTTGTAAGATATTAGTTGATCATATTCATTCCTATATCAATGCCATGATGGTTAACTGCACAATATGCTTTCTTGGATTTTGGAGGTCTGTACATTGGCTCTAATGTCCTAAAATTAGTTTGTCTCAAGCTAAAATGGTATTTTATACAACAACAACAACAAAGCCTTTAAGTCCCAAACAAGTTGGGGTAGGCTATAAAATGGTATTTTATATTTCATTTTTACTGTTCCTGAACCAGATTTTTTTTCTTGGCACAACTTTTGTACCGTCAAATTTATGGTTTGGATATCTTCTCCTTTCGTACTATATCCATTACTAGACATAAAGACATCATGAGGTGTGATTTATAAAATATAATTTCATCAATGCTTCTACATCGAAATCTGTGTTATAAGAGCTAATTTATGAAAGTACTTTTCTCTGCTATATCAGTCTTGGAATTCCTTTGTTTATTTAATTATGAATTGTTTTGTTTTAATTGCATTTTATAATCTTACACATGCTTGCCTAGGATGCTGTAGTGTGTAAGTTAATGTGCAATTTTGCTTAGTTTTCTTGGACTTTTCAGTAGCCTTACTACTTGGTGTTTATAATACCTTAGCAAAGTTCTAAGTCAGATTGTAGTGCAAGTAACTGAAGTGAAAACAAGTCAGATTGTAGTGCAAGTAACTGAAGTGAAAACACCTGTGCTGTTGTTTTCTGTTGGATTTGTCTGCCTCAGTTTCTAGGAGGGTGGAACATAGTTGTTTGATTTTTTTTCTCGAACATGCGGGAGAGCTGTGTACAATTATATTAAGAAGAAAACAAAATGGGGGGAGAGCTCTAACAACACACAAACCCACTCACACTAACATATGCTCCTTTTCTAGAGCAAGACATGACCTCGATCAAGCCTAAGGGCACGTACAATGCCAATGTTTTCAGGTCGTCCGATTAATCGCGATTAGTCATCCTGGTCGGTCCCTGGTATGCGATTAGGAGGACCGACTCGGTTAGCTCGACCAAAAAGCTGGTTGTCCGATTAGTCGACGACTAATCGCGATTAGTTGTCCGACTAGGACAGGGACGACCAGTTTGGTTACTCTGTTTTTGGGCATGTTTAACTAGGCGGACATGTGGGACTATTGAATGTCAATGTTTGTGACTTTGTGTACTGAACTAATTTGGTTATGTAATATGCTGGCTGTGTGGCTGCTATGGTCTGCTAAATGTTAGTTATTTTGCTACTGCAGCAGTGCTGCTGTTCAGGTGTGTCAAGATCAAGACTGCATTAGTGTCACCAGCTAAACATTAATGCAGTCTTGATGCTTGCTTTATTGTGTATACTATATATATATATATATAGGGAAATTATTTCCTACTCCCAGGGAGTAGTTACTCTCATGTTTATATCTCTAGATTTAGAGCGTCTATGGCCCGATGAAGTGTATGTAGACGGTATGTCCTGATATACATGGACGACTAGATGGACGACCAGGGTCGACTAATCGGCCTGGTCGACGACTAATCGCGATTAGTCTCCTGGTCGGTCCCATGGCGACCAGGTTCGACCAGACAACCTGAAAACATTGTACAATGCAAAGTCGCTTATGTATACTCTTAAGGGAGAATATATGATACATCATCAAGAGTCTATGAAGGAGCTCCGACCTACAATGGACACTGTTAAAATTAGCTAATAAGCTTAAGAGCTTGTTTAAGAGTCCATTAACCCACAGTGCATCTGAAATGCTGCAACTCACTTTTATTAGTATATGCTCTTGTTCCATACATGAATGGAACAGAATATGAAGTGTGCAGCTCTTAGTAGGCTAGTAGGCTCCAGAGGCATAGAACGCCTAGCCGGGCTTTGACACTGGCCGTAAGCGCCTGTAACAACTCTCCCTGGTCTCCAATGTGGTATCACTTTGTTGTAACTGTCCACGAGTGCCTTGCCATATCACTGCACTGTACAGGCCCTAGCAAAAACTATGAAACAAAGGCAGAGAGGTACGAAATACTCGAGTCAGAACACACAAGCGAAACTCCTCACTAGTGAGCAAAAAAGCCCTCTCCAAATGTGGAGACACCATAAACAAACACACTTGTTGTGATGGTTCCGCAGGGACCAAGCGACAAGCGTAGCAAGGGAATTAAGGCCCTTTTGAATTGCTGACTTTGCCAACTTTGCTGAGTAGTTGCTTGAAATATCTGTCCTAAAATACATTTTGATTCTGTATGATTTTTATTAGGTGTCGTTTAAAAGTTCTGCAAATCTATTGATCTACTTGATGCAGCATTAGTCCATATCGCTTTAGCATTTGAGACATTCTGAAAAATTAGTTAATCTTTCTTACGCTGATGATTAACTCATTTGGATGCTTACCAACTCATGTTCTGCTCTTTAACTCACAGGAGTACTTGCAGTTTGAAATTGATGAAAATGAATTTGAGAGGACAAGGCAACTATATGAGAGGCTGCTTGATAGGACAAAACATTTGAAGGTATGGATCAGTTATGCTGAGTTTGAGGCCTCTGCTGGCTTGGGCAGTGAAGACAGTGAAGGCGAGGAGAAAAAGAATGAAGTTGGTTATCAGGAACAGCAGATGGAGCGGGTCCAAAAATGTAGAGGTAATTAATGAGTTAGAGATCAATCTTAAATTGTCCAACCATATATGTTTTTGCATTTATTGACTCGTTGCAGACTAAAAATAACACCTTGTGTTTTGATGATCAGCTATCTTTGAAAGGGCATTCGACTACTTCAGAACCAGTGCCCCAGAGTTGAAGGAGGAAAGAGCTATGCTTCTTGAAGAATGGCTTAATAAGGAGGTGAGCTTTGGTGATCTTGGGGATGTCAGCTTAGTGCAAAAGAAGGCACCAAGAAAAGTAAAGCGGAAGAGACCAATCCCTACAGAAGATGGCTCCAATATAGTGTATGCTCTTTACTCAGTTTCCCTTTTAGCACTTCACTCTCGAATTGCAATATCTTTTCCTTTTGTTTTCTGGAGCAATGGAAATATATGTACTGACATGAAATTTGCTTAATCCTTCAGGTATGAGGAGTATATAGATTACATTTTCCCTGATGAAGTTGCTCTAGCACCAAACCTGAAGATCCTAGAAGCTGCTTACAAATGGAAGAAGCAGAAAACCGGAGATGATGATGAGTGATCCTGGCATCTCAGTATGCCATTGTCGTGAACGTTTTGCCACAGCCAAAATCAGATGTCCTGCAACACTGTGGATAGAGCTATCGGAATGGGAATAATCAATTTCTTCATGTCACAGAGGATGTTGTTGCTGTTGAAAAGAATCATGCGAATTACTTTTAACTGGTATAACTGTATGGGTGCTAGTTTGGTGGCCATGAGTCGCTTCCATGCGTAGGTTCAGGCTCAGAACAATGAGAGAGTTTGTCTTGCAGTTGCAAAGGTGCCTCTCCAGTCTCTATGCTTTGTCTGCAGTTAGAGTAAACTGGGCGTCTTCGACTTCAATGGCTGTGCGTCCATGCCTGTCACGCTGGTGTCCAGGATTCAGTTGGAGGGCTTGCAGTTGCAGAGGATCCTACCAGCAAATCGTCATCTTCAGTGCCTAGCAGCTCTGTTTATTAGCCAGTGAGGCTTTTGGTTTCTTGTATTTTTTCTCTCGAAAAATCGACAAAAGCTTTGCTGAGCTAATTTATTACAAAGAAAAACAAGAAAAGTACAAGACGGAGCCAAAAAACCAGCAAAAGAAAAGAAAAAGGGGCAGCTATGCGAAAGTGAAGAAATCCTTTCTCTGTTCTTTTATGTGTGTGTTTTTGTGATTTTGGCAAGCCTAGACTTGCCATGATTTGTCTTGTCTTATTACTTGGCCATCTAATAAAAATAGTCCATCCATTCTATTAGTTTTGTCCTAAGTCAAACTTCTTTAATTTTAACTATATTTTCTTGAAAAGAAATATTAACATCTACAAGTTCACATAAATTTGCTATCAACATATGTTTCATAGATAATTTAGTGAAACTAATTTGATGTCGTAGAGATGTTGTGTATTTTTGTGTAATTTGGTCAAAGTTAGATTAGAGGAATTGGATTTAGGACAACTGACCTATAATTTGGTACCGATACATGGTCAGGCATGCTAAGGAAAAAAAAAGGACTGATGTTGATGTTTGATTAGGGAAAAAGGACTAATTTGACATAGTGGACCTCAACTTGTTCATGTTGGTACAGACACATTAGGCCCCGTTTGGTAGGACTTCTCCATCGACTTCAGAAACCGTTTAGAGCTGTTTTTTACCAAACGGGGTAAAGTAAAATAACTTTACTTGTGAAGCCCCTAAAACATGCTCTCACAATGATTTGGGGTGTGATGGAACTAAAAAAGTGGCTTCTCCCGGCTCCTCCTCCAAGTCCCTAAAAACATGCTCTCACAGGGAAGTCATTTTGCCAAACGGTTTACCAAAACCGCTTCAGCTCCACCGATGGAACTATTCGTGGAGCTGAAGGAAAAAAAAAACTTCACTAATAAAGTGAAGCTCTGCCAAACGGGACCTTAGTTGCGCTATATCTTCTCATTTAATGGCTGTCTCCCATAGCTCACCTACTCGAATCGTGAATGCACCTTCACCCGGTTCTTTATAGGGAGGATGGAGCACCTTTCACCCGGTTCTTTATAAGGAGGATGAAGGCGATGAAAGTAGAAGAAAGCGGCAAGAAATAGGGGAGACTAAATAAAAAAGTAAAATTTTGGGACGAAACGCAAATGCCATATTTTTTGTTCTCTCTTCTTCTTTCTTATTAATCTTCATCCGATAGAGATTATATTGTAGTCCAAAACAACCGACATTCAATTTCTCTATCTCCACACATAAATATTAGAATTGAGAAGCATCAGGATTCATTCTCCTACTTCTTGGCTGCTGCGTTGTGTCGTAGTTGTACGCACAACGCAGCAGCCATTCTCTGCACGATCAAACACACACGGAGGCGGAGCTGATCAACGTGACCGGTGGGTGCGCCCAGCGCCAACAAGTTAATTAGGTTGTTTATTTCCTGAGTAATTAGCGTGTTCTTTTCTAGGAAGGTTCAGTGTTGTATTGTCAACCAGTTAAACCTCCTACGGCGCTTGGTTTGCCACATAGCATGTTGTTGTAATCTGAGATTGCTTCGGCCTAGTGAATACGATGTCTGGGAAGTGGGAACTTGGTTCATGATTCAACGGACAGGATATGCTACGCACGGTGAGGTTTTAAGGATCCCAAGATGTTACTCCATGACTTGCAAAACATCTCGGAGTACACCGTATCCTTCAATCCTCTTTAGCGAGCAACTGGCAACTGCCACGTCGCAACACTGCAAAACTCTAAAAAAGTTTTTTAAGTTTGACTAATTTTATAGAAAAAATAAAAGAGTGACAATATCTATGACATAAACTGAGTATTTTATGAAAATATATTCTATGATAAATCTAATGATACTAATTTGATTCCATAAATCTTAGTGTTTGTTTCTAGAATTATGGTCAAAATTTAAAAAGTTTAACTTTAAGACAATTCTAGGAATCTATTTATTCAATGAGAGGAAAAATATTTTTTTTAAATGCCACGTATCGTCCGTCAAAATCAAGAGTTTATACGACAGAGAGAGAATTAAATCCGGGTCCATGCAAATTTATTCCCGGTCAGCATCGCTGTCTTTTTCTTCTTCTGTTACCTCCTCCAGGCTCCAGCGTGCGCGCTCTCTCTCCCTCTCCGTCGGCGACGACTACGCCAGGTCTTCTTCTAGCCCAGGTCGCTGCCGCCTACGCCAGGTGCCCAAGTTTTCTCAGGACCCTTCGCCGGCGACGAGCGCCCCCAGGTACGCCTACCCCTTGGTCTTCCCTTCCTGCATCGCGGCACCGAGCACCCAAACCCTAACTTACTATTTTGTATTCGGATCTGATCTAATTACATGTGTATATGCATGTATCATGCCTGCTAACTTCGATTGTTTTGCAAAAATTATCGCCCCCTCCCCCCCGGGATGGAATTCGATTAGTTTCCGTCAGTATCATGTTCTTCTAGAGTTTCGCGTAAAGCTTCAAAAAAGAATATTGTGGGAGTTGAGAAATCTCCCTTTATGTTGATTGAGTTATCGTAACTCTTTTCTAGGAAATTACTTTCCAAGACTTGTTTCTGTGGTTTAGGATACCAGAAGGTTATAACTTGCATCCTGAAACCGTCAGGTTGTGCATATAGAAGATAATCCCGATGTCAGAAATTAAATTTTGAAATGTTGTTGCTGGACTTGTCGTTTTTATTCAGAACTAACTGGGGAACCAGTGGCAGAGCTTGACCATAGGATTAGTGGGGAGCTAATCTATATAATTGAGGATTAGACACTAATAAACAATACAAAAATCGCTGTTTAGACTTTAGACAGTGGAGACCACATTGAGCAGGGGTGGCTATGGCCCAGCTTTGTCTTAACCAACCTCCACCCCTGTGGGGGAAACTTTCTTGTTATTATATTTGTTGGTTTGTGGCTTGATTCCAGTTTAAGTCCATTGGAATTTTGCTCTTCCCGTAAATATGGACCCTTTTTTGTGGCTTTCATTATTCTGAGTAGAAAAATTGGATGCCCTTTCTAGTTATATAATTTCCTACTTGTTGGATGTTGGTTTTCACTACTATCAGTATTTTCGGCCATTTTCTAGCAGTGTTGGTGATTGTGTATTCTTTGGCAATTGCAGCTTGGTTCACCCCCAATAAATTGCAAAATGTCAGCCAATGTCGGTGAATCAACCAGCGGTGGCAGCAGCAGCGATGCAGCTGGGGGGAGCTTTGAATGCAACATATGCTTTGAGCTGCCTCAAGAGCCAATAGTGACTCTTTGCGGCCACCTTTTCTGCTGGCCATGCCTTTACCGGTGGCTGCATGTCCATGCACATTCACCAGAGTGCCCAGTGTGCAAGGCCCTTGTGGAGGAGGACAAGCTTGTTCCCCTTTATGGACGTGGCAAGGATCGTGTTGACCCAAGGTCAAAGAACATGCCCGAGGGTGAGATTCCTCACCGCCCAACTGGCCAGAGGCCTGCCACAGCCCCCCAGGCCGATGCTAACAACAACTTTGCCAACGCCAATGCAAATGCGAATCCATGGTTCATGGGCACAGGAGTCCCTTTGGCAAATGCGCGGTGGGGGAATTATGCATTCTCAGCTGCTTTCGGGGGACTATTCCCTATGCTTAGCTTCCAAGTTCATGGGTTTCCAGATGCTGCTGCCTATGCGCAGCCTGCTGGGTTCCACTATGGGTATGGCCATGGGCATGGATTCCATGGCGGGCATATGGGACACGCCCATGGCGTCCACCGACAAGCACCATTGGGGCAACAGCAGCAGGCAGATATCTACCTGAAGGCCCTGCTCTTCATGGTTGGAATTCTAGTGATTGCAAGCCTCCTTGCGTTTTGAACTTGTTGGCAACATCTATCAGGAGGCCTGCCTGTCATGGTTGGAACTTGGAATTCTGGGAATGCAATCCTCCTGGCATTTCAAAAATTCAAAGTCGTTGACAGCTTGACATTGTGATGGCATATTGACCTATGAATTGCAAGAATGTTTCAGTGTTGGGTCTGTACTATAGCTTCTGTACTATAGTTTGGTGCTGAATGTTGCATAAGTACAATAATATTTGCGTGAAGTGTCCATAGAATATGTATTTACGTCTAGATAAGTATCTGCGTTTCACAACACCTTATAGTGTATTAGGAGGAACATGGTGCCATCATTACTGTCTAGGTTTGATGGTCTTTTACTCTTTGGAGGTGAACATGATGTACAATTTATTGGGAAGTCATCTCCCACTTGCATCTGAAATTTGTACCCATTTAGGCTGGACAAGAATAGTACGAGACAGTACCTGAGAATTTTAGGGTTTTGGTGTCGAACTGCTGATAATGCCAAGCGTTACTGTTTGCCTGTGTTGCTGATTGGGAGTCTGATTGGTTTGCCATCCCCTTGCTGATAATGGCTGGCTCCGAACTGCTGATGATGCGTGTGTGCACAACATCTATCAGGAGTCTGAAGATTCAATCGAAGTCAGTGTCCAAATTCGTGTGTGCAAACCTGCAAGTAGCAACTACATTGTTCATGAAACCGTACCTTCTTTAGCATAAGTATGATCATTGCTTGCTGCACCCAGCCATTTTGATCTTGCAAGGGGACACGCAAGGGAGAATGCGTCTCTGCTGAGCAAACTGAACGGACAATGAAACAAAGAGAGCCTTGAAAAAAGTTTGAAGGGAGATACGATGCGTCTCTCTGCTGAAGCAAACTGAATGGTCATTCTCTGCCACTCCTACTTTCAGTAACAAGTACAGTAGTGTAGTACTGCCCAGATTGGCTAGTCAATTACTGAGGAGGTGGTCATGGGCCATGGCTGGGCCTAATGCCATTTCTCAATCTATCATTCTTTGTTCATAGACATACTACAAAATTCAGCCTGGTCCTCTTGTTGGCAAGATTGTTAAAATTTGTCGGCCAAATATTTGGGCCCTTTATCAGGTCTCATAGCGAGGCATCTGCTAGTGACACTACAACGCCAGTACTTAGCAGTTAGCACTGTAGAGATGGAAGGGGTCACGTGCCTCCTACTAATCAATGATTACAAAGACAACTCGACTAGATATTTACTAGAGCTGTCAGGTACGAGTAAGAAAAAAAAAAGCTACAAGATAAATATTCATGTTCGTGGGAATAGAAATTTGACTTGGATGATCTTTTGTGCATTAAAACAAAGTGCTGGTTGATGTTTTGTTCTGAGCTGAGGCATAAAATAAGTTCTATTATCACAATAACAATAACTAAATAATTTTTCTAAGAGAAATGATATGTCTGGCATCTACTCACCACTCACAAGTCACAATGGTAAAGCAAGTTTAATTGATCCATGTTGGTGAATTTGTTGTTCAATTGTTGGGAAGCCATCTCCTAGTTAGCTCAGTATACATATACCGATATACTGTATGTACCATTTTAGAGTGGACATGGATCAGAGCATATTAGAATTACTAGTGTTTGGTATCCCTTGTTCGTATTTTCATTAATTAGCACTCCATGCTTATGTATGTGAAACACACCATCTTACTGGTGGCCTAGGCTGCTGCAGTGGCTAGAAGAACAGACTGAATGATGATAACGACAGGCAGGAGTGTGGCACTGATACCCATTCCGGAGTGCTAAGTGTCATATTCAGTAAAATAAAGAAGAGCTTGTATGTACGGTTTTTTTTTCTTTTTAATATATTTTCCAGTAGGGGCTTAAAACCCCTCATGAGTCTTCAAAAACAAAAGAGCTGCTCTTTTGCAGGCTGTGCAACTTTGACATGCTGTTGGTACTAATATAGATCCCAAAAATTTACAGTGGGGCCTACTGCCAATTTGAGCTGCTGGTTCGTTCTGAGGCTGCAATCCATTGGATCTATAAATAGTGCGCGTTTGAGCGTAGGACCCTAACCAATCGCCTTTGAAATCTGGATCGATGCATGCCCTTCATACTTTAGCCATCGTATATGTATACCGTAATGGTGCTTAGTACACTCACACTGCACACAGCACACGGCCAGGTTTGACCTTGCAGAGCTAGCTGATGAAGTGCATGAACCAGTGCTATCTGAAACGTGCACTGAACGAAATAGATGCAATCGGAATTGAGCGACGGTGCAGGAGTGCAGGACCCAGAACGGCACCGATCGACAAAGAACCATCAGAGAGGCTTGAAGAAATCCATCGCATCGCAGATTCGCAGGGAGAGAGCAAGCCCGTCCCTTGTCGGCTGTTTTCAGTTGATGAGAACCACGTCCACTCCACTCGGCCAGTTGCGCTGACCTTCAGCCTGTTCGGTTGGGTGGTTCGTTTCGTTGCTGGTTCGTGAAGAAGTACTGCTGGTTGGTTTGTGTGAGAGAAAAATACTGTTCCGGCTGGAAATTTACGATCATTTACGACGAGCGGACGGAGCCGAGAAAACAAACATGTGCTGTGCTGTCCATATCTGATAGGGTTAATTCGAAATCTACCATTACAATTTTCATGGTTTTGAAATCTACCATTACTCTTTCACTAATTGGAGATATGCCATTAAAATTTGCCAACCGCTGCAAATATGCCAGATTCTACACCCGACGCGTCATGGGCCCATCAAAAGACATACGCATAGCTGTCAGGTATTCAGTATAGACACCGTTGCCCCTCCCTCCTCTGTTCTTAACCCGACCTGAATGGAATCGTGTCGACTCCGTCTCCTTTCTTGCCCCCTTCTCCACGAACCCTAACACCGATCTCTTGGCAGGCGATTGCAGCGGCGGCGGCAGCGGCGCAAGACAACGGGTGGCGGAGGGGGCACAAGCCTACCGGCGGCGGCGGCACAAGTTTACCGGCGGCAGCTGCTGCACAAGCGAACCGGCTGTAGCGGCGACGTAAGGGAATCAGCAGCGGCGGCGCAGGTGAATCTTCAGCGAGGATGCTGAGAGGAAGTCAGATTAAGGTCGCTGCAGCGAGCTCAAGCTCGTTAGCGACCACCAGCAGAATGCAGCATCAGTCTGGCCTCCTAGATTGCCCATATTGCTTCATCCCTTTGATTCGGATCAAGAGCAAGCGAATAGGTTGTAGCAGTAATGGTTTGTGCAGGAACTTGTAATAGGTAGCAGCATGGTCATAGCTGGTTGAACCAGTAATGGTTGCCTTTTGTGTTGGCTGTAGCATCAATGGTTAAAATATATGTGGAATATATGTGTTGAAATTTGAGTTGCCATTTGTGTTGGCTATACCGTCAATGTGGGATATGTGTTCAAATTTAAAACTTAAAATGACAGCTCCAGTTCAGAGTTGACATTAATATCAAAAGAATTAAATTGGACATGGTTCTCAGAACATAGTTTCCATTGATGACATAACATTGGTTCTCACAAAAGACATAACAAGTTCTAACAAACTCCTAGAAATAGTACATAGAACAGGTGTCTGTGATGCTCCTAGAAATAGTTGCACATCATACAAGTCAAACTTAAATTTGGTACTTCAAAAGCCAAATTTCTTCTTGGTACTAAAAAAGTAAGACTTGTACATAAACTTCAATTGCTGCTTATGAAGTTTAAAAGTCGCCTGACAACACGTGGTTGTGGTGCAGCAACTGCTTTCTTCTGCTTCTTCAATGGTGTCCTCTTCTTCTTTGGGGTCTTCTTCTTTTGAGGACTCTTCTTCTTCTTTCCTGGCCCCTTCTTATTTTTCTGTGATATGCCTAGCATGTCATCATCTTCTTGCCTTTTCCTGCAGGAAGGTAATGAGCTTGATTATCCCACTGTATTGTACAATTTAAATTGTATAATTTGGATGGGTTGCAGTAAACTACTTACCTCTTGTTCTTTGAGCTGCCTCCAATTTCTCCATTGAGTCATGCTCAGCCAGCTTGCATGTCTTCGCAAAGTGCCCAAAGTCTCCACACCTTTTACATTTAACCTTTTTCTTTGTAACTTTGCCCTCTAGACAACCTCTAATTCTCTACACTTTAGGTCTGCCTGCTGCTCTTCTCAACAAAGGTGGAAAAACTTTGTTTCCAAGGTCAACCTCAGGCCACTGTGATCTATCTGGGAAAGGCTCAACTCTTCCCTCATAAGCTGCCCTGAACCTTGCTACAGAATAGTACTCATGGACATAATCTACAATTTGAAGTCCCCTATTTGACAGTATCCAAGCCAAGGTATGTTTGCATGGCTTTCCTGTGACCTGCCACTCTCTGGAGGAACATGAATTGTGAGCTAAGTCTACTGCGTGCCTCTTTTGGTTGTTCCAATCATCTAGGAGTGTGACTTCAGCAAAGTCTTCATCACTCCTGACCACCTTAACCAATTTCAGGTTGATGCTAATTGTATTGAGCTCTTTAATAACACTTGGGAGTATGCCATCTTGCATTTCTCTACCAATCTACCTTCTTAGGTACCTCTTCTCCATGATCAGCTCCCTCAACCCATCAACTAGTTCATGCAGCAGCAGACCTTTCATCTTCTTTATCTGTGCATTGAAACTCTCAGAAACATTGTTGGTGAGATAATCGCATTTGCTTTTCTCAGAAAACTCACGTCTATACCAGATTTTATTGTGATGTTCATCTAGGTAATCTATGGCATCTGAGGCAAACTATAACAGAACCGACCAATTATATGAAATTAAGTAAGAAAATCATCCGCCAGAGCAGACGATTTAGCAAACTTAAGCCCGTATAACCCGGTAGTCCGTGAAATCACGAAGGATATCAAACCAACTTCCATTCTAGCAAAGATCGTAATAAGTTTAGCGGTCACCATCACATATTACATAAAAGTTCGTAATCTCAGATACATCAGAGTTTCAACATAGTTATTATAAAACCAGTTTGAATAAAAGTAGCGGAAGCCATTTGTTCAAACCACACACACACAC